CCGCCATGTGATTGGCTGATTAGAAATTAAGTGTTAACGAGCAGTTGGACAGGTGTACCTAATAAAGTGGCCGGTGAGTGTATATTTCTTGTCAATGTAATGCCTCTGTCCTTCTCTTTTTATTACATTTTCATATTATATGATATTTAAATACATAAATGTCTGTAATTAAAGCTTTGACCACTAGGTGGAGTGTAAAATGCAGTATTTTCTCTTCATATGACATACTAACAAGTTACATTTAAGTAAAATGTTATAGCATCAGACCTACAACTGTTTATCAATATTATTAATAAAACTGACCCCCACCACCCTCTGCATGAAACCATGGGGGTGGGGGGCTGAGCAGCTCCTTCAGTCAGAGACTAAAACATCCTCGCTGCAGGACAGAGCGCTTCCGTAGGTCATTCATTCCAACTGCAGTTAGACTGTATAACACGTCATGATGTGTTCAGTCACTTGGACAATTGACCTACACTGGCATCAGTAATATGCACCTGCATATATATTCATTTATGTACTATACTAGGTATATGTACATTGTTATATATCACGAGTATAGTGTTTTTTTGTTTGTTTTTCTTTTACTTTTCTTTCTTTATTCTATCTCACCCTGTCCTATTTTGAGCTGCTGTAATGTGCAAATTTCACCACTGTGGGATCAATAAAGTTTTATCTTATCTTATCTTATCTTATCTTATGATATAAACCAGGGATGTCTAATCCTGGTCGAGGACTGCTAACCTGCAGGTTTTACTTGTTTCCCTTCTTCAACACACCTGATTCAATGATCAAATTACCGCTTCATGTTCTACAGAAACCTTGAAAGTGCAGTATTGGATAGCCCTGACATTGACTCAAACAACTAAAACTGCTGTATATATGAATAATTTCACTTTTTAAAAGGATCAAATCAAAGAACAGGAAAATATTAGTTCTCTATTTAAAAAAAACTAACGTAGAATAAACCTGCTGACGTTCTGTGAAGCATTTCAATCTAACAAGGTGTTTTATGTAGCACCTCTTGAACCTTATATTTAAGTTTCCATTTATGACATCAAAATATTATTTTTGCTTTTGCAGTGTATAGAACACATTATAAGTGCAGTATTGCTGCACTGACAGCTGCTGTCTGGTATATTAAACCTCAAACCAGCAGTGTGGCTGAGTGTTGGAAATAAAAGGAGCGCTGAAAGTTTAGACCTACTTCCTGTTGTTCCAACATTTTCAGCAGGCCTGTGCTGCGGGCCAGTGGAGCTCTAAAGAAAGGCTGTAAACTCGACATGCTGGAGCTTCTCTGGAGCTTGTTTACACCCAGAGAAACTCTCAGAAAGATCCTGGACTGACGGTGGTTCTGAAAAATTACAGACTGATTCTGCTGCTTATCAGCTGGATAAAACTGGCAGTCACTTTTAAGAGAACTTTGAAAAACATTACTGGATTTCTGTTTTAGTTCCTGGTTCTAACGGTGTTTTTTCTTTCAAATGTCGTCTTTTTCATCACGACGAGGATATGCGGACGTGCTGCTCTGAAAAGAATGATCACCTTCTAGCGGCTTTACAATCTGCAGCTTCTCCGGCAGGTAGGACCTCGCTGCCATCGAGTATCCTGACAGGATGCTTCCGAAGGAGGGGTGCGAGCACAGCGACAGCAGACTCTCTGTCGGGGTCCCTGGTCCGCCGCTGCCGTCCCCGCCTCCTTTCTCCTCCTCCTTCGCCAGGTAGGCCAGCTTCCGCTCCCTCTCTTCCTCAAAGAAACGCTTTTCGGAGAGGTAGTTGTCGCGGCGGAGGGAGAGGCGGCGCAGAGCTGCCTCCAGGTCCCGGCTCCCCGGAGTTCCTGGGGTACCGGGGGGCCGCTTGTTGGAGTCCTCCGAGCTGGACAGAGAAAGAGCAGGAATGAAAAATAAATGACAAAACAAACAAAAGAAAAATAACATATGTGACCCATCACAAGTCCAAAAGTGGTGTATGGAGAAAAAGGCAAATATAGTGTTTTGACTAAAATGTTAACAAAAATTGCATTTTGTCAAAATATAATGAATAAAAGCCTTATTAATGTATCATTTGAATGAACTGTCTGAAATATAATCATAAAACAAAATTTTGAAGCACTTTTTTGAACAGTAGCAACAAAAAAACTGATTTTGAGGAAAAACGCCTTAAAATTTTGAGATTTTCCCTGTGAGCTAGCAAAGTTTTGTTTCTTTTCAGCTGGGAAATCTTAATATTCAAATATAATTTGAGGTTTCCTCTTTAAAAGGACTTCAAAAATTCCTCATTAAAATGACATAAAATTAGGATTCAGACCAAATATTTATGTATTATTGTAACCAACCAGACAAATTAAGTCATATATATGGATTTAATTATGATATCAGAATGATCCAGGTATCAAAACGTAGCTTTTAAAGCCAATAATCTGAAAATGTAATTAGGTCATTTTGACCAAATTTGACTTAATCCTAATTTCGATATGATGGCTCACATATATACAAGGTTTGAATCTGTACCCATCATCTGAACACTCCAGGATGCTGCCCGTCCTGTTGTCCAGGAAGATCCCACTTCCTGTTTCGCTTCCATAAATGGAGTTGGAGCGAGGTGTGCCCACCCTGCTGGAGCGCCCTGAGGTGAAGCATGAGGTCTGATTGGAGCCGGGGATGTTGAGAGGAGAGGGGGCTGTGGAGGGACGCTGCTGACGCATCAGGTTCAGGTTCTTAACCGTCTGGAACACTCGCTTCGGGTGTAATCTGAACATGCAGAACAAAATACAGCTTAAACAGAGAACTGTGGGGGGAGATAATGTTCTGGTATTTTTTTTCTCTTTCTAAACAGACATTTAAAAGAAACATACGCACTTCTGTTCCTCTACATCTGGATCATCCATTTGAAGCTCCTTCCTCATGGTGCCTTCTATTTCAGCCGCCAGAGAGTCCTGAGAAGACACGTAATACAGCTTAATGAATGAGCTGCGGTGCTGTCTGTCGCTCTCTAATGGAATAAAACCCGTTCGGCGCACAGAGATGGAGACCTATGTGACAACACGGACCATGGGGAACAGGCCCAGAGAATGGAAACGCCTGGGGTTGCTGAGCGGCAGCGTTTTGTTCCTCAGGTTTTTCAGCTCCTCCTGAGCCTCATGGAGCATCTCCATACACTCTGCGTACTTATCCTGCAACTCCTGCAGCTAAACCAGGGGATAGGAAAGAAAAAAATAGGAAGAATGTAAGAACAATTCACACATTTACAATTAAAACTGTGGTTGCATAAGTTAAAGCAGGTCATAGTCGTGGCCATAAAGCTTGTTGATCTGTTTACCTCAGCAGTGAGTTGTCTCTGAGCGTCCTTGGCTGCACCTAAATGCTGCGTCAGCTCTTCGTTCTCCACAGCATACTAAACACCGAGGACAAAACAACTGTAAACAACTCCTTTTTGTAAAGCATCGAGCGTTTGATCAGTTTTTTTCTGAGATATCAGAGCTTTCGTACAAGCTTGGCCTTCTTCTGCAGGTCTACTATCTGAGAGAGGAGGTGTGTGATCTCCTCCTGCTGCCTGGAGGCATCCTCCGTCTTTTTGGCCAGCTCTTCTGCCAGAGAGGAGATCTGCACGTTGGCGTCACCTGGAGACAATGGCAAGTGGTGACGAGAAGGCGAGCACTGCTGAAAATCCCTTCTGAAGTGGCCAATATTACAAAAGGAAGTGAACTAAACTAGAAGAGACAAACACTCACGCAGTTCTTTGACGCAGTCATTGACAAGCTGCTGTTCCTTCTCCTCATACGAAATAGTTTCTGTCTCCAAACGACTCGCCTGGAAAAATAGATTCACATTTTCAGTAAAACACATTATTAACAGGATTAGTTAAGACAGGTCAAGCAGCAAACACAGTTGCGCTACTTTTAGACGAACAAAACAACAGAAACAAAGAAAAAACTAAAAAAAAAAACACAAGGGAAAGGAAGATGAGGAAAAAACCAAAACATCATATTATATCAATACTGTGACACAATATGGTGTTTATGAAAAAAAACCCTCTGCATAGAGCAAGTTACATATATTTTTACAAAATTATATATATATTTACATTTACATTTATATATATTTACATCTATTTTACATATTTAAATGGAGGTGTGTCAGGGGAGGTATCTCATGTGCACTAAGCTCCACGTTCATTATAAAGTTCATTATAAGTTCCACGTTCATTACAAAATAAAGGCAAAAATCTTTAAAAAGTAAAGTTCAGCAGCTGAACAGCTTTCTGTAAACATTAAAATCTTGTTTTATAAAACAGACTGAAACAGTAGAAGCCACCCAGTCCTCTGATTAAATTTATACTGAATCGTTGGGGATAATCATTTCTTGTTTTAGTATAATTATTTATTTAAAGTCATTTATATTGCTGTCTTAAAAGTAATGTATGAAACACTGTACGTGTGTGTGTGTGTGTGTG